TATTATAATTAAGTAGATGAATATTGTTGCAGACCACAGTTATCTGCAGAAATTAATATTTCATTTCTATAATTATTTATAAATTTGCTTCGTCATATTATTTATTTTGCATAATAATTACTTATTTTCGTTATAAGTAAGTTCAATTATGTGTTTAGATTTTAATACTTAAAGACTTAAAGTAGAATACCACTGTAGTGATATGTGTAAATAAATAATGGAATTAGATAAAACAAGTAGCGGTAAGTAAAAATGATTATCATTTAGGACATCAAGCCACCAAAAATGTTCTGAGAATAGATATACTTATATGATAATTAGAAATAAATAGTTTAAAAAGAGACAAAATATATTTTTTTAAATGCTTGTATAAAAATTTGGTGAAATTTTCAAAAGATTTTGTCAATAACTAATTATCTTAAAAAAATTTTGGAATTGTTATATTTTTATTAGTTTTTATCAATTATTTTAAAAAGTAATGAGACATTTTTACTTTATCCAATTAATTACACTTGAATTAATATCACTCAAAACATCTACGATTTACAGACCTAAAAGAAAATCCATAACTGTAAGCCCAATAAATTAAAAAGTCATTAATATTTTTAACTCGTATGAACTAAAAAAATAATAATTATTATTTAATCTAATTTTCACACGTATAAAATTTGTATATATTTCTATTTTAACTCTATCTACTGGAAATGTATTTAACCGACTTAAAACAGTACTATAAATAATGATAATAATAATTTACTAGGTATATAAAAATAATTTTTTTTAATTTAAAGTAAAAATATATATATTTCATACTTACGTATTTACGTATTTGATATATTTGTATTTTAATTGTTCAACATCAAATTATTAATAAATGAATAATATTAATGTTTTTTCTTATGATGAGTTGTGAGAAAATCTTATTTCTTTGTATAGCTAGTACACTTAGATACTAATTTTAGTTGGTTTTTGTTAGTCCAGTTTATTTCTGATAGAGGGCATTAGACATACCTGATTTAAGTAGAAAAACAAATTGTAAAATATTGTATATCAACATAATTTAATTATAAGTATTGTGTATAAAGTGCTTTACATGTTACATAAAATATAAAATAATAAAAAGTAAAAAAAAGGCCAAACGGACGACTAATTATTATTAATGTATTTGCTGTTTAAATATTGCTGTTTAGATTGTTCAGTTGATATTTGTACGCAGTGATAATAATATTACCTATGTATAAAATAAACATAATAATGTTAGTATATTATAATGATTTTTTACCAATATGAATCATAAAACGACTCATGCAGGTAAATTTAGAAATTGAGTCATTTTTCAATACGACTTTTAATACACAACATCTTATAAAAAAACTACGTAGTTAAATGTTTAAAATAATAAAACTATAACTATAACTATTAAAACATTGATGAAATCCTTTATTTTAAATATCATATTGACATTTAAATAGTGATATCTGCTTTTTTTTTTTTTTTTTTTTGATACTATTAACAAAAACAGTAAGTTGTTATATTTATTTTTAAACAGATAACGTCAATTAACTATTACTGATTTCAGTTTAAATATAGGTTTAAAAATTACATCGAATAACAAAAATTTCTATTTTCTAGTACAATAATTTAATATTTTTATTATAATTATATTAAAGAAAATTATTGGATATCTTTACTTGATTCTCACAACATTTTTTAAATACATCAATAAATTAAAATTGCAATATCCACATGAAAACTAGAATTGTATTATTAATTAATTATTATAAAAATATGATATGACTTATTATATTTTTATGCAGAACAATTCTTAACTTTATGTTTTTTTTTTTTTATTATTCAATTATCTAATAATCAAATTTTTGATAGTGATGAATTATTTAGTAACTTACAAGTAGAAAAATTATTTATTAGCTATTACAGTATTCTGCGAATTGAATAATATATAAATATTACGGCAACATTGTGCCCTTTAATTATTATTATTATTTTTAATAGTATAGCGCAAACACGTATTCTAACAATAGCTAGATAACAAAACACTTTACGTTTTAAATATTTGGCTAAAAATACTTCAAATACAACGTGAATATATTTTGTCATTACATTTTTTTCTAATCAACTTATGTTTTAAACAAAATGTTAATTAACAGTTTTGATGTTAAAATCTCAAAAATATGTGACACGTCAAACAATCGCACATCTGTTGTTTTTGAAACAGCGTTTAATGCGACTAATGTAGGTATGTATTACAATAAAATATCTATCCGCATGTTAGTTTAACTCATCATATATAATGCAATTTACAATATTTTACATTTTATCTTGCACATTTTTTACATAACTAGTATCAACTTTTTTTATGGATAAAGCATATGTTCAAAAATAAACCAATTTTTTCCATTATACTACATCTACATAGGTACTTAAAATGTTCGATAACGTACTTCAGTACAACAGTACCTATCTACATTTGTAATATTTACGAAATGTTTATTCATTTATCATGATTGAGGCAAACAGTGGTTTATAATTTCCAAGCAACGTGTTGTCGTATAAACATACAGTAAACAAATGTTATTACTTACAACAGAAAAATAATATTTCAGCTAAAAAAAAACAATACTAAATAACAATAGTATAAAAATACTAGTTTTATTCAAACATTTGTAACCAAATTCAAATGTGTTAATGTTATAATTCATCACACATCTGTAAAATATTTAGATTCTTTTGTACAGGAATTTCAGAATTGTTTTTTTTTTATTATTAATATTATATTGAAAATGATGTATAACACATAAATTATTAACATAACTTTACTTTAAATAAATATACATACAAACAATTTTAACATGTATTATACATGTTTCATATCACACTAACATCGAACAGTGGTAAGGTATTAAATTTATAATCGACTATACATTGTCGGTACATATTATATTATCTTAAAATAAACAACAATACACGAATAATATACTATACATATGAGTTTATGACGTATTGAACATAGGTCATATTTTTTTTTTTTTTTTTATTTTTTTTTTTTTAATCTAAAAAGAACAAAAATTAACAAACAGTATCATTTAGTATTCTATTGTTTACTTTTAATTAAGTGGGCTGAGCATTAAAAAATTGATAACATCATAAAAATATAAATATATGTGTTTAATAAAGTTTAAAAATGAAAACAGAACATATATCTATTTAAATAGACAATGTTATTGGAAAATTTTATCAAATTTTACTGCAACTGTGAATAAAATTTGATTTGGATTAATATTTTCTTGCTATAACTTTGAAAAAAGTATTAAATATTATACTCTTAAAGTACCTATTTACATACACTCCTTATACTATTTATTTACATATAAATAAAAAATAATATTATTTAAACTTGGAAACATAGGAATGTCTAATATAGTATGACAAAAATACTCTAAAAATTCTACAATAATATCTTTGATTTTTATTCAAATCAATGTTAAAAGGCATAACTTTTTTTTTTTATAATTATTATTGGTCAATTATTTGAAATAAAATATTTTTACGCGATCATGTTACTTTAATATTATTATATAAAAATAAATATACATAATATATATTAATCAAGTAATCAGCGAAGAAATATCTGTAAAAAAAAAAAATGAATAAATTTCAAATATTTTTTAAATGTAATAATTCGAGCCTAAGTAACCAACCATTATATGTTTCAAACTTCATACAGGATAACTTCTATCAAATAAATGTGGACAATTTTAGCATTATATATTTATATCAAATTGTTAGAGTAAAAATTATAGTATAGTATAATAATTATTATATGTATAGTATATTACACATTTGACAGGCGTGGCGAAGATTATTTAAAAATTATATTATCTATAGATTATTGTTTTTAATAAAACAATTAAAAAATAATATAAATAGGAATCGTTATCAGCTCCACAACATACATAAAAAAAATAATATTATAATTATTAGGTACTTAACGTTATTTCAACAGTGCCGTTAATAGTGACAAATGACAATATGTTATCCTTCTACAAAGATATCAATACGTTCTATAAGATTCTATGTCCGCAACCTGCAGGACACTATATATAATATATAATTATCAACGTAATATAATTAAATGATATTTATCATGAATAAAAAACATCATAATATTGTTTAAACCAAAAAGTACCATCGTTTCAGTTTAATTGTATAAGTGTAATGACATATAACTAATCATGGAATAGGTACATTATGATTGTTGATGTGTTTACGGCACGTCCTTCAAAAACAAAAATATATAATACATTATAGAAAATTCCTATAATTTACTTAATTGATAGCATTCTAGATAAATAACTATAGTTGAGCATAATATTATGCGATACAATCACGAAAAGAGAAGAATGATAATAAAAAAATTATAATATTTCAACGACGATCTAACATTGTAGATAAACAAAAACCGCAGATGCAGCTAATTATAAATAATTATAATAATAACAATAATGTCTTATGATAACAAAATTATACTTCATTACAAACATAACATATTGGGCGATTGACACGTTTAGATAATAAAACCGCGTCATATTACTATATTAGGTATCGATGTGTCTGAATTTCACAAGTATGCGTCTGAAATCCGAATTGCATGTCATCTCTTAAAAATGATGTAAATAATTTTTTTTTTTACGATATCAATTTTTACTTCAAAAGCTTTGTCATCAGTGTTTGATTTATTTACATTTTTTATACACATTGCATTTTTATTAAGTTATTATGATTGTATTTATTTTGTATAGTTATTGATTAAAAAAGAATTATATCAAACATTTTATTTTCCACTAAATTCAGTAACTATTATAAAAAGTTATAATCTGTAATAAATATGTTTACATATTTTAACTAAATCCTAAAAAAAAATTTTTGTAATATTTGATAAAAAAAATATGTGAACTTGCGACTTAAAAAAATATCAATTTTGATTTATTTTTTTTCATGTAAAAAAAATTTAACCTACAAATTTACTTTAAAAAAATTTCAAATTTTAAATCGATGAGTAACACCATGTATATGATGCCGATGGGCCGCGTGGCATCCAGCTCGGACAGATCCTCGAGATGGCAAGTAAACCGGACAGATGAGGCCCATAAAACATAATATTATAATATAATATAATATATTATATCGAAGTTCGACACGCGTCTGCTCAATCCGTCCGGTGTAGCGAACACAAACGGAGCCGGTTCAAAACCGTAAAAAAACAAAATTCATCAGTCTTGCGCTAGATTCCTAGATAGGGCTGTGTATCTGACTTCCTGTCCTATATTGCCCGGATCAACGTCAAACGTGGCATTTGTGGCGGTTCGGACACGCGTTTCGTCGGCCGCGTCTTCGCCGCTCATCGTGCTCACCGACAGACATTCGCGGACTTTTTGCAGCACGAGCCCCACGCGTCGGTCGATGGCTATCAAATGCGGTTCCCAAAGTATGGGAGACAGCGGGTCGTCAGCCAAGGATTCCCTCATGTGCTCGCTAAGTTTTTTGACGTTGTGAAACCTGAAAAAAAAATCAAAACACCACGACTGTTATACAATTATGCGGAAACTGTGAATTTATTTTTATATATATCGTTAATTAATTTACAATCATTCATCAAACATCGTTATTATGACGGACATTGCATGAGCGCATGTATATATAAGTGAACTCGTCAAAGTAAATTCAACTATAGGTTGGTGTTGGCAGTAGGAATATAAATTATACGAAAAATAAAATTGACAATTTATTTTCACATGATGAATATTTAACAGATCGCAGGTTAGTTATTGTTGGACAGTTTGAAACATTTGTTGGAACTTTGTTTATAAAGGGGAGAAGTGGTGCAATACTCTCTTAAAATTACGCCGAATAAAAACAAAAAACGTTTTCATAAAATAAACAAAGTTCCAACAAATGTTGGGATCAAACCAACAATGATCAACAAATTTGTTGGATGACTTCCAACGTGGACTGTTGACTTTTCCCTGCCAAATTCATAGACAGTGGGCGTAACAATATACAGAATCCAAAAAACTTATAATTGGGGATAGATTACCACTGGCAGCTGAACTATTGATCAATAAATATAATATTGCAACAGATAGAATAGCGTATATAGTGTGTTTGATTCAAACGGTGTGTACACGTTTGTAATTTCATAGAGACCTTCCTTATTAAAGGATTGGTTTAACTAAAAAACCTTTTTTCTCGGGATAACTAACTCACCACAGCTAAAGAGTACATCATATAATGTTTATCAAAATTTGGTTAGAAGCCACGACAGAGTACGCATTTCAGAATTCGATGATCATTCGGTTACTTTGTATCACACACAATTCTTATAATTAATGCGGTTTAATATGATTTCATTGGGTCAAATTCGCTGTTTTTCTTTTTCATTTGTTGTGGTGGTTCAATGATAGTTCAATGGTGTTTTCGAACATTAAATAGATACAAAAAACACAAACATTATTTGTTCATCAATGAGCATTTATGTGTAATACACAAAGCTGTAGCACAATTCTCAGAGACGTGGAACTTTTTACTGTCAAAATTCACTTATTTCAATAGCCAATTTTCAGATTGAATTTACAACATGTAAATTCCATCAATACTTTGTTTCCTATGAAAAAAAAATTAAATACCACTGGTACTTATATTTCACGTCTATTCCAAAGGTACGTATTTTTTACCTAAAAACATGTAGCTCCACCAATGTTAAAATCCACAGATAAAAATTATTTTTAGTATAGTTACACATCAACTGTCGCCTGTCTTTTATCTAAACGATATAGCAACGTCTGCAGGTAAATCATATAGGTATTCATATTACGTAAATAATGCGTTCGATTACGTATTTTTCATTTGTTCGTTGATTTCAAGATGAATACTTTAACCGAAATAAATAGCGAACGTGGCAAAGTTTTGATTTGTTTAAATAATTTTAAGTTTTACAAACAAATAATTTTAAAGTTTGGTGAAGAAAAGTGGTGGTGTGAAAATAGAAAACAAAGTGTTCCGTCGTTTTAAAAAACGATTTATTTTGGAAATAATTAAACAATAACTTTTCAGCGAATACTACATAGCCACAAAGCGTTAATAGAAAATACAATTTGACGGCAAGTATTAAGTACTGGTGTTTAGCGAAAGGCGACAAAGGATACTTGTAAAATACCAAGAAAAATAAAAAAACTCACATTGAATGAAAATGTATTGGAAGCAAGTTGTATCAAATACAGTTTAGAGATGTAAATTATGCTAAAATAAATTTATAAAATGCTAGGAAAATGACAATAACAAAAATACCTAAAAAGTTCTTTAGACGTTTATAATTTTTGAAGTGAAAACCCCCAATGTATGACTAGTAAAAACGAAATTTTTCTTCAATATAACAGTAAAAAAGGGTATTATTATATTCTGTTGTAAAAAAAACTTTGAAGCTTTGTGTAAAACAGAAATTGTTTACATAAATGGAACATTTATGTATTGCGTAAAGCATTTTTTGCAGCTTTTCACTATACATGGATACTTTAATGGCTATTACATTCATTTGCGTTTTTTCGTATTAAAAGATAAGCATGTGTCCTCTTATATTGAATGCTTTAAAAGTGTTAATGTAATATTTTCATCCTATGATTTTGTTTTTGAACCAAAACAAATCATTATTGATTTTGAAAAAGCAAACATAACGCATGCGATTTAATTTTGCCATATTCGAAATTAATGGATGGTAGGTTTCGTGTTACACAAAGTTAGTGGAAAACAATCTAAATATTTAGTTCAACGAAAGAGTATAAAATAAAACCCGAAGTAGGTGATTGGCTTAGAATTTACTTTGAATTAGTATTTTTAGATTCTGAAGATGTTTTTAATTTTTTTTGTAATAAAATTAATGTATATAAAGTCCAAAAAGTCGAAACTTACAAAATTTTCAAATTATATATTCGACACCTATAATAAAGTATTTTATTACAGAAGAAATATTATTTTCAGTAAATATTTGGGATCGATATAGCACTGAATGAAATTTAACTGCGAATGCATGCGAGTCATTTCATTCACATTTAGCTCAGTCCTTTGAAAACACACATCCAAATATTCAATATAATCATTTTATACAAAAACTCTATTAGATATTCAATTAATCACTTATATTAATATTAAACAGTATTAACGAACATAACAACTTCAAAAATTCTCAATCAAAAGCACGCTAAAAATATTTAAACACCATGATTTTGTCATTTAAGGGAAAAATACTATTGTTACACAATTCGTTAAAGCAGCATTTAATTATTAATAATTTAAATTTTAAAATTTATTTGGGTAATTATTTTTTTACTATTAACTAATTGTTTATTATCAATAATTAATAATTGTATTAACATTTTTTATTCATTTTATTTTTATTTTTTTCAACTAACTTCTAACTAATGATCATTCTTGATTATTATTTATATTTTTTTTAATTTGTGAAAATTTTTATTTACTATTTTTATTGTTATTGCGTGCTTACTAAATTATTCACATTATAGTATAAACTGTAATATTTATTTATCTCAAATGTTAAAGGTTTAATTCCGTATATCTAAATAAAAATAAAATAATATTAATTTTATCACAGTTAAAAAAAAAAACGGTGAAATTTTCTTTTTTTCAGGTAAAAATGTATTAAAAGAATTTACATTTTTTTTTCAAGTAAAAAAAACGTATTGGTGGAATTTACATGGAAAAAGGGGTCTAAAAAGGTCGTAATCGGTGGAATTTACATGCACCCTATATTTAAGCGTTCATCTTCTAATGATATCTTAATAAATAAGACATATAAATATTTGGGTATGGACATTGTTTTTACATTTTTGCATCTCCCTTTTATTTTTTTCCAGAGTTAAAACATAATCAATTATGACAAATTAATTATTATGAACTACGAAGATAAAAGATTATTATTACGATACAAAAATGCTTTATATTTGTGATACATTATTTATTGAAACATATGGAACTTAAATGAGTCTGTAGTAAAGTATTAAGAGAAATCCACAAAACAAAAGTATATTGTTCTTTATGCACACATATAAAAAAATATACATGCCTCGTTTAAACTCCATAAGATATTCCCTTTATTTTCAGTGTTCCACTTCACAAACCCAATTTAATCTAAAACAGCTATTGGTTTCTCGCAGTTCGATAACCAGGAAAATGACCAGACGTTTAAACTTTTCACATATAAAAGTTTTTTTCAAATTGACTTTTCAAACGATTATATTATCTGACGCACATGTGTATTTGTTTCAGATTGTTTAGGTATTATATTTCAGTTACAATCAGAAATACGTTTTATTTGTAGGTACCTATAGGTAAGCATATGCCGAATTTCCCTTTACTTTTATTGCATTGTTCTCAATAATGTTAATACATGGTTTTATATAGTTTGAATTATTCACTTCCTCATCATCAACCATCAAAAATTGACCTCCAGTAATTTTTATCAACTTTTTTTGTCCAATAAGTTTTTTTTTTAAATAATTTTATGATTTTCATTTTTTTTATTTTGTATTTTAAAGTTGATCAATGTGTATGCGTATATAATGAATATTTAACCAATACTTTTTTTAAAATTCAAAGACAGTGAAAGATTTATACATAGCACTCATGCAAAGTAATCTTGTTGATTACCAGCGCAAATTCACTCATCCTAATATTAACTTTCAACGCATTAGAAATTAGATGAAGTTACAATAAAACTCGTAGTTATAAAGAAAAACATATTTCTTCGATTTAAGAAAAAAAAATACCTCAATCATCATGATTAAAATATTAAAAACGTTAATTTTTTACACAAGACATATTACGTTTAAGTGTTTCTAATAATCCAATAATATTAGAATTTTTAATAAATTAACACTCCTTATTATTAAATACAACAACTAATAAAATTATTGCTATCAAAAAAATACTATTATTCAACAGGCAATAAACTTAAACAGACGGAAGAAAAGATAGAAACCAAAATAATTTTATACTGAATCCTAAATTACGAAAGTAGGTATAGATTTGAATTATGTACATCAACTATTATCAATTCAAAGTCACAATCACATTGCACGAAACTCATAATTGGGAGGTATAAACTTAATAAATACTCGTTTAAAACCAATTTCGTTTATTTTTTAATTAGATTATTAAAAAAAATTTTAAAAAAATTAAAAAAAAAAACGCCCCCAACAAAACATTAAAACAATATGCGTATTGAATAATCGGTGTTCAAAAACCAAACCGTGGCAATCAGAACAATAATTATTATACATAATATATTATTACGTATATTGCGTACACCAGCAGCTGCTATATACAGCGCAACGCGTTACATATTATTATAAATATTATTGTCGTTGACGTGTTCGGAGAATCACATTATTATTATTATTATTATTATTATTATTATTACATAGGTACATTGGCACAGCCGCATTTTATCGTAGTCCGATAAAAAATGCGTTTCCTTCAATGAACAGTTAATCGCGGCTAAAAGCCATATCGGAAAACGTGCAAAGCGCGGCACAAAAGTACACGGTTTCGAAATATCTCGCCGAAACGCGAATGCTCATTACCTTCGCGTCACAGCGGCGACGTGGTCGAAATGCACGGACACAGGATGCAGTGGGCAGAACCGCGGTACAATGCGGTTTTATAATAATAAACATATATTATATACTTCTGTACCTAACCTGTTATACGGACAGAGAGGTTTATCAATTGCGTTCTGGGAACTAGCAACTATTCATGTCTATATTATGATGGTCCATCACGATGATAACAGATAATTATGCTAAGTGCCTGTGACGTGAATGTGCTGATGCTGTGCGCTGGTGTATATAATGTGGTGGTCGACTCGTGCGAGGGCTTTTCAAAACGTCGTCTGGCTTTTTGTCCCCGTTGAATATTTTATTGGGTCCACCTCGTGTGTTTGCGAATGCCGTAATGGGTTTTTCCAACCTCTTAACGGCTGCCGTTTATTTAAGATTATCTCTATCGTATATACTATATACGTATGATATAAATATAGGTATACGCGAGGCATGGGCCAATCTCCTTCCTACTTTCCGCCGTCCGCCAATCGCTGGACAGCATTGGCACACCGCCGTTTATTCTCCCGAGCCCTTTTATCCGTCGATGTGCAGTTAAGTCCGAATATCCGCGCTCGCTACGACTCCTCCACCCATACCACCTACACCACCGGCCATAGACACCACTCAGTGGCAGTGGTGGTGGGCTACCGGACGTACGTGGCAGAAAACAAACACACTTTGGTGGTATTATATATATATATAGGTACGTAGACAGACGACGCTTTTCTTCTCTACCCATTCCTGTCGTCCCGACTTGCGTCCTAAAAATCGTTCGTAAAGCCATTTTAAATTTCTTGACATTTTACGTTTTTGTCAAAACGTCAATTAAGTCGACTGTTTTTTTTTTGTGCTGGAGAGAATATATATTATCATTAGTTTATATAATATAATATTATAATTTCGAAAACGGTAATGAAATGTTAAAGTAATTTAATATAGACGGTCGTTATTGATGCGCAATCCTCGGAGGAAAAGATAAGTAGTTTTAAGATCAATAAGCTCGTATTTTAGTATACTAACAGACTGACTTAGATATATTATTATATCCAGAGGATTGGCAAAATAAATTTGATATTAGGACCAGAATTTCCATTACTTAACATCGTATACTTTCTCCAACAAACGAGATTAGATAAATTAAAATAACGTATAATCTATGTAAATTTATTATTGTGATTACTATTGCTATTTATAATTTAATTTTTATTGTATTTTACTACTCTCTCTCCTAAAAAAAAAAGTAATATTATACTCACTATTGTAAAAATATTTGCATATATGTGTAGATATAAATTTAAAAAATGTAACTCGATTCCAAAGATTATTCCAAGAGTTATTTCTCTGAATAAATAAAAATTTGATATTGAATATTTGGAAATAAGTATAATTAAGATAAACTAAAAGTTGAAATATTGCAAGTTGATTTAAAATCTAAAATATTTGTTTTTTTGTTGTTACCTAATTTAAAAATATTAAAGATAACTCGAATATATTGTGATTTTATCGAAGGAGTGTATGCATTTAGGTATATGAACAATTTAGTAACTAAGACTAAAAAAATAAATTCTTGAAGTTAAACTCACATTTCTTTACCTATAAATTTTGATTATTAATCGCATTAAAAACCAGCTTTTAAATCAGTTTCCCTATTTCGTATGTGCAATGCCCTAGTGGTTTGAATTAAATAATTTTAAGTAGATACGAATGCTCGTCTAAAACATCTATTCATATAATTCTCGTAGATAATAGAGAAAAATAAAGAATTTGTCTTGTTAATTGGGAAAACCGTTTTTCCACATTGACAGTATTTTAAAAGGTTTAATTGGGCATACTTTTATAGTTATACCCACGATTTTATTTTGTAAGACAGTTCCTGTGATGCCAAACATTGTTATGTCATTTGAACAACAAATATAATGTTTTTTTTTCTTTAAAATATTTTATTATAACTAATAAGAGAAAAAAAGTAATAGAACTTTATTACCAAAGTTCTACCAATGCTATACAGTATGCAGTCTAAGCGTATGGTTAGGTACAGTTGTATACAGACATTAATCGGATTAACATCATATATAACATACTTCCCTAATATCTAATAAGAATTCTACGATTGGAGCCACAGTGTTCGTGCATTTATATTTAATAAGTTAGTTAATATAGTAAGAACGACTAATACCTCAGCAAAGTCTCAAGCGTAGATTTTCGTATATGACAGCACTGTATGATTGGAGCCAATATACTCATCTCGTCGTGGAATGCCTTGCCAAATGCCCGACCGTGGTCGAGGTGAATAGGAAATGAATCGTTGCCGAACAGGGTAAACGTTTCGTAATGATGACGGTCCATGTTGCCCATGAGAAAGTCAAATACGGACAAGTCCATAATGTCCAACATCCGGCGACCACTATTGTACGCCGGCACGTTTCTAACTAATTCACAGTAATTTGGATCTATATTGAATATGAAAAAAAAAAATAAAATAAAATAAAATAACGATTACGATAAGACGTATGCATTAAGTATTATAGCGCTAAACAGCAAAAGATAAGGAAAATACTTTGAGAATTTATAATGCAAAATTGTTATTATAATATATTTGCGTCACTCGGAGTACGATATTCACATTTCACAGTGCTATTTAACCCTGTTTACTATTTCAACATAATATTTGCATTACAGACTTGTTTTGCTCTAAAAAAGACAACATCTAGTATGAAAAAAAAAATCTTGTTGATCTAAATAATAGATTCTGATCTATTTATTTATGTTAAACCTTGGATCGATGTTTATTTTAGTTTTAAAATATATTAAAAAATATAAGGTTAAGTATATTTTCTCCAATAAAGAATTACAGTTAACTCAGTTGTTGTCCAAACGTATTTTAAAAACAAAAATGTTTATTATGAATACATTACAGACAGTTATAAAGTTCCGTGCCTACATTAATTTATTAATTTTGTTATCAATAATGAAATTCCATTTAAAATTGAACGTTCAACTATTCTGTAAGTTAGCGCTATGAAATAATAACAATAATATGTAAATAATATTGTACTATTATTATTTATGTTTAAAAAATATTCTGATAAGCCGCTTAAGATATTTTCGTTAAATTAAATAATTTACATTTTAATTATAATCAATATCGTTTTTATAAAACATATCAGTTAAACCTCAAGACGTAATTTAAATTTAAATGAAATATGACTGTCACAAAATTAAGTAATCATATGTCATTTTAACTTAATTTCATTATATAATATTGAAAAATAAAAATAAAAATCTTTAACTTAACTCTTGATTAAGCATTTTTAACAAACTACACTTTTTGATTACATGTTCCAATGAAAGTTTGGAAGTGTTAAACATTACATTTTTTTTAAAATCATTAATAATTATGGTATCTTTAGGAAATTATTATATTATCGTAATTTTAAAATGTTTAGTTTTAATTTTTATTATTTAAAATAAAAGTTCCTACATTATTCAGAGTTTATAATAATAATAATTTCTATAGTAAAAAGTAAAATATAGGTCTTAAAATAAAAAAAAATTTATAATATTTTTCTATATGCAAGCTAAATAATTATCGTGTAAGTAAAATATCGAAATAATTGTCTAAAATGTTTATTATTACCCGCACGATTAAGTTTTAATTTTTAAAATAATACAAATAAACATTAATGAAGATTTAATAATAGATTTTAAGTATGTCATCATTTTTTTTACAATAAAAACTGTTCACCTAATGCATAGATACAAATTAAAACCTTATTCGATATTCAAATCATAAGCTACCTTGATACTTAACAAATAAATATTACTGATATTACTTACTAAAAAAATAAATATCATAAATCACTCGTAATAAAATAAATCATTGTTCTTTATCATATGATTCAGTATTACACAAATAATATTATCAAACTGTAAAACAAAAATATTCTTTTATGAGTTATGGGCTATTGCTACAATTATAACCGAAAAATTATATACCGTCAAAAGATTTCCATCAATAAAATATATCTAATAAAAGATCATTCCCCAACATTTTTTATACTCGGAATAACTATTATAATTCATAAGTTTTTTTGTTTTTATTTAATTTTAATTATTTACTAAATACAAATTTATAAATACTATTTGGCCCTATAATCGAGAAAAATTTATGAAAAAGCCCGGGATATTCAATACTAAATAAAAGTATAAACTGCAGTTATTGTATTGTGGTATTATGTTGTAATATATTTTATACTATTTCATAATAAAGTTAATATAATTAAAACTATTATAATAACAGAATCGTTTGATGATTAAAATGAAAAATGTGCTATCTATTTACACGAACTTTTATAATAGTCTTGTCGATTTATCAACTAAATTAATATATTTATTATTTTAATAATTTCTTGAATTTAATTTATCAAAACCATTAATAATAAGGATACATTTTAATTGATTTTTTAGTTTCAATCAACTTTCAAATGCAACAATCAAAACGTTGCAACAATACTTCATTAAAATATATTTACCGTGATAAAATAAACAACATTTACAAGTTTTAATTGAAAACATGTCCAGATGTATTGTAGTATATGACATATTTATCAAAATTTCTATGTTATAAATATATATATATATATATTAAAATATATTGCTATACCTACACTTACAATATAATTAAAGTTAAACATATTGTATTAGTAAAAAAGTTCGAGTTTACAAAATTTTAAGAATATAATCGTTAATATAAAAATATTAAAAACGTATACTTTCAACATATTCAGGGTATAAGACTATAACTTTAATTGACGCTATAAGACATAAATTAAATTTTGTTTACTTTTCATATTTTATCTAGACATAAACTATAGAAAAAAAAAATTGAAACCTTGCAGTTCTATTCGATACTTTATAATATAGCTCTTAAGATATTTAACTGGAATAATTGTATTTTTTGTTGATAATATTAAAATAAATAGATTTTATTTAGAATTCCAATGTTCCACATTAACGTAGTAACACTTAATTATTTATAGGTATTATCATTCTCAATACTGACCTGTTTCCCATTTAGCTTTCCTCCGCTTGTGGTAACTGCGCCTCCACGGATGCCTCCAAGTCTTTCTCTCCAAAACCTCTTGGGTTGGCAAATACGCGGCGAATGAGCCTTCCAACATATCCGGATTTCCGCAAATAGCATGCGACGTATCACAATAATAGGAACACTGTCCGTGAAAACACACATTTTTGTCGGGTGACACGAAAAACGTCTTCAACAAATCAGACGCGGTAACTTGGGCCATCAGTTCAGATGTGATGTTCACCAACCTTCCACTGACCGGCATTGCTCTTCGAAACCCCAATATCCTATGAATCATAATATAATATTATTATACAAACACTTTTTTATTAAACATGTTTAAGAACGTCGATGCTTAGAAAAATTTGCAATAGAAATATTATGCCTAACTACATATTTATAAAAGTTTGTGGTAATGAGGAAGAGGGAACTTTTGCTAATCAATCTTTAAATATGCTTTAAATTAAATAAAAATACATTTTACAGTTAAAAAAAATTCAAAAAGAGTTGCAATGCGAATCGTCAAGGTAGAACTTTTCTATCAAAAGATGTATTTAAAGTTGGTTTTAATCACTTTCACCCTCCTTTTCTCCTCAAACTATGGATCAAAATTCAAAATTTAGATATGACATTGACCTATACAATGATACAATGATTCGATGCGTTTAAAAAAATTATTTAATATACAAAATGCATTTGTAATGCAACTATATTCTTCAAAGTTTTAAAATATGCTCCCAATTTTTTGTAAAAAAACCTCACGTGAGATTATAATATTCCGATTTAAGATAAATACAAAGATAATAAAAAATACCTAATAATTCACGGAATTTCATGGTTCTAAAAATTGTTTTTAATATCATTGGATTTAAATTACTTGATAAAATAAAAATTCTATACAAATAATATTTAAATATAATTTTTAATTATATACAATGTACCTATACGTTTTTAATTCTTTAGAACATACTACATCTCATTAATACATTAAACGTTTAAACAAAAATCAAATATGTGTTTACTATGTTAGTAATTACTAATTACTAAAAAATAGTAATAATAGTTTTCATAATTTCTTAAATCTATGATGCTGCTAAAAATAACAATAAATTTATTTTTTTGACCTACTCGAGTTAAAAAAAAAATAACAAAAAACAATACTAAATATAAATTATATTAATTATCAAATTTTATCAATTACCCCAATTTTTGACACTCCGTTTTTGATAATTATCTGAAATTGGTAACAACCACAACAACACTTTTGATAGATCTCACTAAAATTATTATTTTTTTTTTCAGATAGCAAAAAAATATATATATATATACTAATATACGTATACATTGTATTATATATATAGTACATATAGTTTATATCATTTTTTGAATCGAACCGCATTGTTTCACAGTGTACAACACCGTGATGTAATGCACTGGATCGCACGAACGAAGAAATTGCTTCATTCACAATAACGTTTACGACCGACTATCATTCGGAACTAATGCGTATGATTTCAGTTTTAGCGATGGACTTACCTGTCGAGATGAAACGCAGCAATTTCGGCATTGTGCCTTTCGTAGTCGGTGAAGTAAAAATGATTCGGCAGAGTCTGTTGTTCTCTGGTGAACCTGCAATCGCATAAAAATAAAATATGTTCAAATGTTTCAACAATGTGTGATACTATTATACTATTATAGTGAGAAAGGTATATATTGTATAATATTGTAATATATATAATAATATGCTAACTATGAAAACCTACATGTATTTTATTATTATCTAAATACTAGCTTTGTTTTATAAAGTATTTTTCAATCAAATGTTAATATATTTTGATAATCTGTATTACAAAACTACTAACTTTTCACTCAATACTTTACAAACAATTATATTATTATATGATTATTGATTACTATATTGTTTCACTATAATCTAAAATCTTAACATGATAGCAAAAAACTGTACGTGCTAGTTTAATAAGGAATATTACGCGAAGGTGAACTCGGTGGAAAAAATCGGCTAAAGAAATTTAAAATGTATACAAATAATAATATACTAAAATTCTCAGCCAGGATAATGTTTTTGGCTCCGTCTCGATTGTTGACCTTGGTGCAAGCCAAGATATTCTATTGTTACTAGGTATAAATTATAAAATATTGCACTCAAAAAAACGATACCAATAAGAAGAGATACAGTGTACATAGAATATAATGTCAATAAGACATTTTAAAAATTGGAGATGTTTAATATAATAAAATTACTTTATATATTTTATTTTACTTAAGTAAAAACCTACGAGTATCAAATAAAAAGTTTGCAGTAATCTGAATTTAAAATATTGATAAGTACTGACTAATTAATTTCACTTTTACGTAAATTCAATTTACATAAGTATTGCTAATGTTAAAGTCAACGTTATAAGTACTACTATAATTATGCGATTAAACATCTAATTTTTCAATAGTAATATAACGTTGTACAATTTTTGTTACTAATATTTCATATGATATTAGGTAATAAATAAATTAATTCGAGAAAAAAAATTAATAAAAAAAAAAAAACACCATTATAATACAATCAAAATAATATATTACTCGTATAGTTATTTATAGTACTATATCAATTCAAGAAAGTGCGTATTTAAATTTAATATGGTTCTTCAATAGTTTTTAATGTTTTAAAAAATACCATATTGTAAGAATATATTATTTATAAATTTAATAAATTATATAAAATTAAAAAAAAGGTTTAATTTTATTTAAATGTTTTATTATTATCGAATATTACGCAATACAATATCACTGCTACGGTAATGAATGATTCAAAAATGACTCTACTTATTATATTATATGAATAACTCTTGTCAGTTCTCACAAAAAAAATCTACATTTTAAATACCTATTTAAAAATGAATGATTTAGTTTATGTTTTATAGCCATAATTATCGTATCTGATATTAAAAATTACGAAATCAATATAATTCCCATTGTATAACATACACATTAATAAGCACATAAAAATTCTCGGCAACAAATACTGTACGTTGTACATTATTCAGTATTCTATAGCAAAGATTTCCTCTAATAGTTTTTACCTGTTTTATGTTATACGTGCTTTCTGTTTTTAATTTGAAGAAAATTATCGATAAATCGTTAATTTGTATTTCTCTTACAATTTATAATAAGATCCGAAATTACTGAGTCATAATGAAATGCCACTTTGTTGCAATAATTTCGAATAACTTTAATAGTAGTTGAGATAAATATTGAATAAAAAAATAATACGTCAAACAAAGAATCGATTTACTTTGATATTTTTACATCAAAATATTTTCATAACTATAATTTAAATCAAACTTCAATAAATCTCAAGTAAGTACTTAGTAGTTAGAAAAAATAATATTATTTTCTAGCGGTTTTTTTTTATAAAAATCGTTTAAACATTATCCATTTTATTGAAATAATATTTCCAGTAAAAAAAAGGAATATACAAAGATATAATAAATATAAGTAGCAATACAGTGTTACAGCGGATAAAGAGATTTATAAAACGCAGACAAACGAAAATTCACTAAAAAAAAAAAAGGATTTTCCCTGAAAAAAGTGTCAACATTGCAATTAACAAGTTACAAATTAGCAATAGAAAATTACCAATTATTTCAACATTAAAAAATACCCGACGGAACTAATAAGTAATAAAACATGCTTTTAAAACATCAACATGACTGAGTCAGTTTCAAATAATAAGTACGAAGAGCCCATTTACATACATTAAATACTAATGATTGAATTAACGGTAACTTTATTTTATTTTAATTTTATATTATGTTTCAATTATATAATTTAAAGGTCATTTATTTATGTAAATAAATTAGAAATACGAAAGACCGCCCTCCAAAATATTTTGAAAAAATACTTTAAAAATTTACCTCATTGGTTTCATAAGGGCTTTATCTCCGTTTACAAACTCAATTACAAGTTTGAGTTGTGTGCCTCCTTCTTTTTGGGCTGAAATATAATGATTTATATTAGAAAACTAAATATATGGTATCAATAATAAACAGGTTAAATCGAATCACTTACCTACGCTTAAAATAGGTGAAACAGACATAGTTTTTAAAATGAATGGCACATACGTGTCGTTCTTAGGATACATTTCTCTTTTTGATATTCTTGAGTGGAATACAGTTAATGCCGTCGTGTTTGGCCTGAAAAAAATGATATTTGAGTTATTAAACCCAATTCATTTTAGTAAAGTACATATATGTATATTTAATTTATAAATGTTATAATACCCAAATATTTAAGTGTTTAATATTATTTACATAATTTAACTTTTCGTGACTCCTTTATTAAAAAGTAAATTTCAAAAGGTATACAAGTCTCCTTACAACGGTTTCGAATGTAAAATTAAATTTAAAAGTAATTAATGGAAACTCTTGGTGGAGATTTCTTCGCGGTTGATTAAAGTGAAAAACGACCCAATTATGCGCCATGTTTTCAGTAATACAGTAATAATAATAATGAAATAAAACCATCAGGTTTTATCGCGTGAGAATAAAAATCGAAGATATATGCGCTGTTTTCTTCCTACCTATAGAAGGACTTAATGAGAATTTTCCCATTTTACTTTTTAATAGAAAATATTATTTCACTGGTCTTAAAAATATTGCATAACCTCTGAATTTTTGATAAATTAAGAACATTTAACAGAACATTTTTTTTCGTAGATAACAATATGTCTATTTTTTGTAGCTTAGCATTTAAACTATAATATCAAAATAAATATTTTTTCTACAGTAAATACTTAATAAAATTATTAGTTATAAGTTATAACCAATTAATAATATATTAATTTAAAGTCAAGTCACTATATATTATTACAATAAAACACAATTACAATCTTAAATGCTTTCGATGTCATTCATCTCCAACAAATACAAATAAACTAGTTCTCGTTTATTTATAATTTTTATTTTAAAAGCATTGACAATGACGTTGTATTAAATGCTTAAAGATCCATTGATTAAATAGTAAGCTATACGTTTCATCAATGATAATTCTAAAATTTAATTCACATATTTTATAAAAATAATAGTTTAAAAGATTTAAGTTTAAATTAAAAACATTGTATTTTATTTTTTACGATTTTATCATATGACTTTGACGCCTTAGTCATTGTTGTATTATTTAATTTATGAATAGTATATTATATTTTACGTAACATTATAACTTTTCATAACCATCATTATAAATTGTCTTGAACTTTAAAGTTAAATTAAAATTAATATATTAATATTATAATAGGTTTAGATTAGATTATTTTACAATGTCAAATCACAATAATTTTCGTGCATTATTTTAGTTCAACGATTATATACGTATTTATAAATAATAACGTTGAAATATTTTAGATAATAATAGTGAATTTACTGTATGAGTATTTATAAAAACTCATTTAATTTTAAATTAATTTTTTTTAATAATGACTCTAACATGTAATTGTAAAATGGATAATAATAAAATCATTTACAAGATAGAAGGTATAGTATGTACCCCGCAAAACATTGGTTCACTACTCCACTCGTAAAACGTTTAATTATAACAATTGTATATCCAATAAATTACTCATCCAACAATTTGATTTTTACACATTAAAATTCTTCAAATAATATTCTATTTCAGGATATGAAATTATAAATGTAATATGTTGTCATTTATTAAACGAATAAAAATTTAAAAATAAATTATTTTTCTTAAATGTTAATTTTTTTTTTTTTTTGACAATCGTAAATTATGCGAAAAAATATTTTCCCAAATTATGACTGACGTCTTACAAATCAATAAATTCTATCGTTTATACCATATACGTATTTATAGGTACTCAGGGAATTTAAACCAATACCTGAACGCTTATTTTTTATACTATTTTCGAACTATGTATTTACAGTATTTTTTTCGTTTATGAGCTTCGTATAATAAATTAGCCAATTTATTAAACTTTCCAAGTCCTAATTAACAATCATCGAATGTTGTTTTGAGTAAATATAATACCTATTTAAAAATTACCTACAAACATATAACGATGAAATTAAGAAGAATAGATTAAGAAATATGATTCATTTAATAATACCGCGATACTTTCTTACTAAACATGCTGTAAAATAAGACGTTGATACAAATCAATAATTACAAACGGCTGCTGTAAAATCAATCTTAATTTCATATACAGTACAAGTGTAAATTAAATTTAAAACGTATAATTAATCATCTAATTATTTCTGCGAATCAAAATAATGTACGTATTACGAACGTCGATCATATTTGACTTTGACATTCTACATGAGTGCATAAATTAAATACCAGGGTGGTTGGCCAACGAGAAGAGCGCCGTCGTGAGCCGCATCGATAAGTAGGTGTAATGCAAGCGAGAACAGCCGAAATAATGGTTTAACATAAGTTCCGTTTCCGCTACAGTCATGGTTGAACGCATTTACCTCGGTTTTATACAATACGTCTATAATATTGTTTACTGTTTTTCGAAATCACCGATAAATAATATGCTCTTCTTCGACTTGTGTTTGAAATGGCGTTCAAATATTTTCCTTAAATCATATTCGTATTCTACTCGATGATAAATATATGATCAATTTTTACCATCTTAGGGTGAAATTATAAAAAGTAGGTCCAGCATGAGCTATAGTAACGATCAAAAATTTAAGATGCCTTTACACCTATTAATATTACATGCTTGATGCTTCTGCACTTCTCTCAGAAGTGTAGATAAATTGCAGAAAAAAAACCATAGCGTATATAACAACAAACACAAATGTTTTTAGCGTTATAATATCATAACAGTTCAATTTTTTGGTTGTCATTTATCAAAAACATTCACCAATTACAGTATATCTTTATGTAATAGAAAATGTGGAAAGTCCACAGAATGTTACAGTCTATCTTGATTTAGATTCTCATTTAGTCCTCAATGGTTTCATATTACAAAGTTAAGAACGAACTACATAAGGCATGTGGAAATATTTTATGCTTTAAAATAGGTATCTGTTCACAATTTTACATTAAAAGTGTATGAGTTATAATTTTTTTCATCCAAAACGACACAAAGCATCCTATTGGTATAATACGACGTGTATTGTCATAATATTATAAACTGTCATACTATTTGTTCAATACGCCCACCAGCGACCACACTTCACACGACGAGTGATATATGTTTCATGTGTGACTTAAATATAATTTTATTAAAGCACACGATTGCGTTTATTTCCTTTGAATGTTTTGTTTTTGCGCATCGTGAAATTAAATACAGGGATGTCCGCAAAAATTAGTCATGTATTATGATAATATATTATAGGACAATACTGCAGTTGGTGCAATAAACGACATTTCCCGATATCTTCACCTTTTAGCCATATGTTCTAAGCATGGGTATAGTTCCAAAAACACCGATACAACCGATAAATCTTCAATCGCAGTAGAGGAGCAATGTCAAAGAGATAACGCCCTTTTCCACCCCTCCTCTTTCCGTCGCAGACGATATAGATATCGTGGATGGCGGTGATATAAATTACATAAACGTCGTTTTGTATTCAACAGGGACGATGCTGGTCATTAATATTCCATATATGTGTACGGTTTTTTTTCTCCGCTTTATATAACGTATACCTACATTATTTTTATTTTATTTTTTTGTTTTCCGTTGTTGTTTTACCACGATTTTACGTAGATAATATATTATTATTATGTATATAAACGCGCGTAGGTGCGCGCAATAATATTGAAACGACTTGGTGGCGCGGCAATAAAATAAAACAAAAAAACAATCCGTCTCCGCAGAGGTCTCGCGACGATTCATTGCATAGCGCCAAGAAATTGACCAGAATCCAAAAACACCGACTAATAAACACACAAGGGACCCATAAGTTTCACTGAAGGACAAACGTAAGATATTTGTTATTAGATATATGTATATTGATATAGATATTTATTATTGAGCTTCGGCGGTATACGTATGCATTTTGCATATTATATTATTATAATACATGATTCAGTATCGTGCAACATGCATACATAGTGCGTGCAATGTGCATATTATTTATATAGATTTTATGGTAGGTATTAGGTATACGTCATTATCAGTATTATTTTTATTTAGAAGTCCAATATACTTTTTCTTCGTATACAATTTTTCAAATCTACTCTTTATAATATATTATATACATCACTCGTGTGACGTATGTATGCATAAACTAAAATAGTAGCTACACAACAGTACCAAATACAAATATGTTATTCATTCTGATACTCGGGTGCGTGTATAATTGAAGTAACTATTCTAGACGGTCACTGTTGGAAATTTATGGAAATGTATCGATAAAAAACAATATTTTATAACTGTTTGAAAATAATCACGTGAAGTCTAGACACATTACCTATAACGTTTAAACCAAATTACATGATATTTACAATTCAATGTACAATTTAAAACATCAAAATGTAATTCACTTTTGTCTTTTTGTACCTATAGAAGGTAGATTGTTTAAAAACGCTTCTGTTATTAATTTGTTCTTTTCAATAGTTATTTGTTTTGAATATTCTAAGAAATATTAATATTGTAGGCATTATGCAAGGTACTTGTAGACTACAAATTAAAAAAAAAACATAATATCTAATTGTTAAAATATATTATGTGTTCATTACATTTTTTAATTTTTAGATAAATAAAATTAAGAATTATAATTACAAGGTACCATATTGTAGATTTTAGTAAACGTAGATAATCAGATATGTAATTAAACGAATTTATTTTATAACAGCATAATAATTCATAAAATTATATGACATACTTAATGACCATTAAATATTAATATAAAAAGTATGGGTAGAAGATAAGGTACAACTTAAAACTTTTTAATATTTCAAAAAACACAATAAACTTGTCACCGTTATAGCTACAAATTTACAACATATAAGTGTGATTTCATCGATTCTAAATAAATTTCGCAGTTACAATATTTTATCATAAAAATTTACAGTCTGACGTAGACACCACGTCGCGATTAAAATAATGATGCATTTTATTTCATAGAATAATATTTCATTAATACGTAATATTTTTAATAAAAATCGGTGAAACCATTTTTTTATTTTTTATTTTTATTTTTTTATTCGTTGTACGTTTAACTTAAAT